TTATGTCAAGTTTGCGAAGCTCCTTCAAGGTATCATTCTGGTCTATGGTAGTTGGGTACCTTGCTGGGATCGCAAATATGGATAGTTTAGCTGTTTATGGGATGAAAAACAGATGTCACTCTCTTCTCACAGCCAGCAGCGCCACTGCCCACTGCAGGTGGGGTGAATTCATTCGATAAGCACTGTAGAAAACCAGACCACTAGGTGCATTCACTGCCATTTTGGTGAACCCGCAAAAGCACACAAAATCCAGTTTTCCTGGTACATAATCTCTGGTCGATTTGAACTTCGGAGACAGCGAGGCAGTCTGTTCACAGACGTCCGAATCTAAACTGTTAGAGAAACTCCAGATGGATCAATCATGGGCCTCATCGGCCAAAAAGTCGAGGGTTCGGACTCTTTCTGTCGAAAAAGGTAGGCCTAGACCCAGTGCCGGTCATAGCTATTTCGGCGCCCTGAGCAAAGAGACTCCAAACTCGCGCCCCCCCCCCCCCCCCTACCCTCCCTCAGAAGGGAGAAGGGTCAATCCTTAGCGTTCGAAAAGACGCTGAAACAGAAGGCATTTCCACTTTCTGAAGTAAAACTGAGGGTGGCATCCATAATTGCTTTATTTATTCGGGCACGTTTTGACGCCCCTGGTGAATTTGCGCCCTGTGCGGAGGCACATGTGGCACATGACTAAGGTCGGCCCTGCCTAGACCTGGGCCGAAGACAGTTCGTGGGCTGGGCCTTAACCTACAGGTCCAAATGCCTGTTCTGCCTTGCAATTGACTATTGCGCCAACGAATTAAGGTCGTTCATCGAGGACTTGAGACGGCTCATCGGGTGAAGCCCTCAAGAAGGTTTTGCACTCTACTACATATTATTACTGTTATTCGAGCATATAAGAGGTAGAAGAAATTATCTACTTGAACGGCCGGAATAGGCGCCTGAAAAAACCGTCTCTTACCTGCATATCAGAGGAAGTGAAACGACATGTAGTGCGCACTGCTGCCGAAATTGCATGGTGGAGGCAATAGTTTCCAGATTATTCCCGTGTTTGATTTCTGTTATCTAATCGGTCCAGCGAAATTGAGGCGATAAGACGTGTTGGCTGGTTTCTCCTGGTCTCGCTGAGCGGGACTCGTGAGGACGAGAGTGTGACCCAATCATGGTCATCAAGGACGCCGGAAGTGCGCAAGAAAATGTGAAGAAATCCATCAGTGACTTGGAACTGGTGATCGTGCCCGAAGACGGCGAGGAGAGCCAAACGAGTCGTACTTGGAGGCACAGCGATGAAGCCATCTTTGCTCCCTACGACGAGCGCAACTGGTCTCTTTTTCAACTGAGGGTAATTGCGGTTACACGACTGATTCTCCTTCCGATCGCCCTTTCGCTTCGTGATGTTCATTCCTATCCTTGCAGGACATTTTTCATAACAAAGCCGGGTTGGAGACCTTGTACGAAAAGTATCAGATCCGGCTTCAGCATTCCTATTTTATCGTCTATCTCCTCACCCAGGCCTTTCTCAGTGCGCTCACGATCACGATCGAATGCATCGGACTCCCCGTACGTAAGAGAACGCATCGTGGATAGAGTCCAATGAAAGAAAGAAAGAATGAATGTCCTCTCGCGTTGCAGGCGAAGGAGGTGATGGAGAACGTGATCACCCACGGACTCGTGATGACTGCCTGTCTTTCCCTGCTCGTAGTCATCTACGACGAAAAGCTTTTCCTCGGAACTCTTTCGTCTGGATCCGTAAACGACGACCGCGACTCGTCGCGTTCTTCCTGGGTGCCTAAAGCCAGCGCTGCTTTAGTCTTCGTCCCCCTCCTCGCCATGCAAATTGTGATGGCCGTGAAACACGCGTGAGCTATTTCCCTGCTTCCCCTCGACCCCGGACTCAGAGGCACTCGGCATTCCCTGCGAAGGGAAGCCCTTTTCGTGTCTCGTGCTGCAGAAATAGGTCTAGTTCATACTCATGCCGTACAGCATGCTGGATGCCGCAACTGCATACCCTCCAATGTAACATGCCCGTGTTGGGTTGGATATTGCCGCTGCTGTACGTGCTGTACAGCACGAATACGAACTCGGTCTTAATCTTTTCCTCTCCAAATTTCATTGGCTGAAAATTCTCCTTCTCGCTCGTGAGCATCATCACTGTATACTCGCATGATTTTCCTTCGCAGGAACGGCAGAGAGTTTATGACTCACTGGAATTGGAGTTTCTACATAGTTCTGGTGTGCTACATATTTTTCCCTCTGAAGACGTCTGTGAGTGCGGTTCTCGCCGTTCTCGTCTCTCTCATTCCCGTGTTTACCTCAATTTTCATGAAATCGCCTGACGAGACCGACGACAGAACCCGGACGGTACGTCCACTTCATACGGTCATTCACCGGCGTGTGCGAGCGTAGGAAGTGCCAAGTCATCTTAATTTAATCGAAAACGGGATTATGGAAGTGTGACACGGCCAAACCAGACCTTCCTGATGGAGAGATTCCCGAACACTTTAAAGACAGAGAAACTTTCAAATATTCGAGAATCCCGGTTATATATTAGTTGGAAAAGCGGACTGTAGTTATTACGTTACTTTTCTCCCATTTGGGTCACTTTTTTTTAGCTTGTCAGGACCGTTTCCCCTTAATTTTCTCATTTTTTAATATCCTTACACCACAAGAAAAGGAGCACCAGGGAATGACGAGAACTGTGGCCTGGAATGCACAGCTAACTAATGAGGAATTATTTAGCATTGGTCCTGCGTGAATTACGCAGACTTCAAAAATTGCGCTCTATGGAATTCTGCTGAGTTAATCTAAATCCCATATATATAATCAGAAAGAGATCCAACTGACGCGACAGAATGCATGAAGGGGTTATGTACCCTTCTCCCGTTTTCGCCCGGGCTCGTAAAACAAATTTCTTCCAAATGCTCTTTCTTTTCCTCCCGAGCTTTCCCTTTTCGACCTTGTGGTAATCCATGGGTTCTCTTTGGCCTTTTCTTCTTCCGGTCATACATGCTTTGGCATCGTGGTACAAGCCCGAAATGCCGTGCGGAGACTGAGAATCTCGGTTCGTTCAGGTGATAGTCGATGTCCTCATGATGGTGGGAGCGAATGCCCTGGGTTTATATTTCTGCTTCATGACCGAGATCGTATTTCGACAATCCTTCCTGGACAAGAGGGCCTCCATCGAAGCCAAATGCAAGAGGGAATACGAGGAGGAGACAGAAGTGAGCTCAAGCCGCTCTTTCCATCGCCATCACGTGGTATACTCAGGGTGTAACAAGAGTCATAGGATTCGTAGGAAGACAATCTATTATTTCCTACCTAGACTGCATGGAATTCCTCAGCCTACCTGATAGGATACTGTAATGCCCAACTGTTCTTTCCTCTTACTTCGTTCCCAATGGGGTACGTGGACTGAAAACTGTTTTTTAATTATTTTCCTTATATTTCGCCCATTCGCTCGAGTGGGATTAGTTCTAAGCAAGAGATCCATACTGACTTCGATTGATTTCAAAACCGCATTTGAACTACAGTTAAGTTCCAGTTCAGTTCCAGTTATAGTTCGCTTCCAGTTGGGATTTCGTTGTGAGAGTAGTCAAAATGAACAGTGGAATTTCAGTCAGACCAAAGTCTGAACTGGAACTAGAACTAGAGCCGAACTGCAGTTTGAAATCTGTCATTATCTAGCTATTTGTAATCGATTAGTTGTCTTCTTACAGCTGATATTTACATTTAAAAAGTTTAAGCTAAAGGCTGATTTGCATATTAAGTGATGTCAGAATGCTTTTTGCATAGAGAACCTAGAAAGTAGGCACACCCACGTTGAGCTAACGCAGGGACTATGGGCTTCCCATATGTGCGATGTGGGCCCAACCTTGGTTCCCAACGTTGAGCCCTCGTAGGCTTGCCCTTTGGCCCCACGTTGAGCTAGCATGGCCCGGCTTGAACCCCCACGTTGGAAGTCCACATCAAGCTAACATTAAGCGCTCATGTGTAGCGGGACTTTCAGGAGCTTAGAAGATGCTTGGAGTAGGTGTTATATTTACACACGACTAAAGTGCTTCTATATCGTGGGTCTTGTTCTTCATGTCTCTCTCAGTCCGATAGGTATGTACTCTGGTAAGTATTATCTCCCGCGATAGTCCACTGGAATATTCATCTCTCATAAGGGATTAGGACAGAACCTCCAGTCATTCTCACAAGTTAACCTCATTCCATCGTGCGAGGCCCCTAATTGAATCCTTCCTCCACAGTTTCGTGGAGCCTCTCTGGACTAAAGTTAACCTGTTTAATGCATGGAGGAAATCAAGTGTCTTCCCCTACATAGTCTGTGGGGAAAATATCAGGTACCGCATGAATAGTACCGAGGACTTGCAGCTTGTCCCTCTCTGATAACAACGAAATGCGAGCTATTTTAGCGCTACCGTGCTTCATTTTGGGGAACCTTGCTTGTTTGAATAACTGAGATAGATGGCTCGCCCACAGATGGGACAAATGGTTGTCGCACTAGCGCCGATGTAGGGAAGACACGGGAAGACCACTGTGTGATGTTGGCCCACGATCCCCCACTCAGGCAACGTGGGTCCAACGTGGTGTGCTACCCAAGAGAAGGGCTAATCACAAAATCGGGTCCAAGATACGCAAGGTAACTCAAAATGACCAAAAACGACTAAAATTAACCCATTAATCAAAATCCGAATTTTATGAGTGCCTAAAATAGGGTCAATGGCTCAATTTGGGTCATTTCAGGTAACTTTTGATAACTTGGCGTCTCCTGGACCATATGTTGTGATTGCGATATCTTACAGTATTTTATCAGGTAAGTGGGTGAGTACCAAACAGTTGAGGCAGGGAGTAATTGATAGATTGTAATCCTGTGAGTCCTGACTTTTGCTACACCCAGTATACCCTTCGGCTTACAGTAAGTCTGATGTTGCATGAACGGATGATGGGGCCCACAGGAGCATCTGTTCTCGAGCATCATACCGAAGACGATGGTGAAGGAACTGCGGGAGAGTCTGAGAGAGGCAGTGCAGGCCAAGGACAAGGACAAGGAAAAGGGCCGGGACGTCCTCCCCAGCATTCCCCGGAAGCCCTTCGCGAACCTATTCGCGCGGTTCCATCAGAACGTGAGCATCCTCTACGCGGATATAGTGAATTTCACCCCCCTCACAGTCTCGATGAACGAAGAAGATCTCGTTAGACTTCTCAACGATCTCTTCGGGAAATTCGATGAGGCCGTGAAGGTTCGCTGCATCCTCCCTCTTCCGCCTTTGTATTCATTCATTCTTCCACTTTTCAAAAGACGCTCTCTTTCTCTCGGTAGGAGCACAATTGTCTTCGGATCAAGCTCCTTGGAGATTGCTACTATTGCGTGTCGGGGATCCCCGAAAGCACGGAGAAGCACGCATGGAACTGCGTGAATGTTGGCTTGAAGATGATAGCCATCATCAGAGAAGTCCGGTGGGTTTCTCCCCGCCTTCCATTCCTTTAAGCTTTTCCCCAGAGGTTTCCTTCAAATCAGTGTGGTGGAGTTAAGAGCTGCAAAGCTCCCTCCAGATCCATATCATGATAAGATCTAGATCTAAACCGATGGGCTAAGCTGATCGTTAAAAGAAGGTGTCAGAATCGTTTGGAATCATGCCCCCCAAAGCACTGGAAATAGACGCATGATAAAGCCCAAGAATTGCCTCAGAGATAGGGCATGAAAAGCGTCGTATGCATGCCATGTCCTCGAGAAGCGACACTTACCCGAACCATGCTTTTTCCTCATGTCACGGTGATACGGTGAGTTTACAGCGACAATAAACAGCATGTTCGTAGGTATCATAAATCGATTAGGAGAGGAATGAAGATATCCTCTCCACTTGTGCCCCTTATTATTGTGACGGATAAGGATGGCATCGAGAGTCTCGCCTGAATGTGCAGGGTTCGGTGGTGTAGTGGTAGTACACCTGACCGGCAATCAGGAGGCCCGGGTTCGATTCCCGGCCGTTCCTTGGGTTCTTTCGACCTCTCATGCCGTCCGACTCCGGAAGTTCCCCTCCGTAACATTATCTATGATTTTCCTTGCACTCAACATATTAAGAACGGGGCTAACACTCTACGTGAGGTAGGCGAATATATACATCCTTATACAATAGTAGTTTCAATGCATTTTTAATTACGGAGCCGTATTATATACATTACGTTCCATGGCTCGTTATCTACTCCTTGCGGGCTGAGTTGTCAAAACGTCACATAGATGGCGTAAGACTCCGTTTTATTTGGCCATAAAATAATGAAGTGCTGCGCCACAGCTGTCTGTGACAATTTGACAGACGCGATCAACAGCCATGGCGCAAAGAAAGAGAACGATCGATGAGAAAGACGTCAAATGAGCGCTTTTGAGTAAACGCTGGTCTCACCAGGGGCAATATCAGAAATTTTACATGTAATTTTGTGCATTTTCTCTCTTAGAGTGCACAAAAAAGTGCAAGTAGGATGCTTCTAAATATGTTTTTGAGATTTGTGAAGTTTGTCCTGCAAGAAATAAATGAACCGCAAACAATAAATAAAAAGTAGATCATGTTTTCTACTTATTTCTCAAGCTACAAACATGCAAATTTGTATACGTGATTGGAAAAAGCCTCCGAAGGGAACTATGTAAAAGTCAACGTTTATTCTAGTATATTTAAGATGCAAAAATTTTCGGTAAAACGTGCAAAATTGGCCGCATTAGGGAAATGACAGTTTAAAAATTGCGCCGCACGTTAAGTGTTTAAGTGCTGGTTGTCGGGGATTTTAAAAATAAATTTGGAATCGCCCAGCAAGAATTTCATGAAGAGATTCCAATCCAACAACCCCATTCTCTTTTTCATCAGGCTCAAGAGTATAAAATTCTACGATTAAAAGTCAGATTAGCGTAGCCTGATGAATGGAAAGTCAGGAAATCATTACGAGTTCTCATTTAGGGCTGAATCTGCGGTGAAAGAAAGAAAGATAAGGGTCGATTTTTGAACAGAGAACTATCTGATAATGCTGCTTTATTTACCGGATTTATAATGCATTTTCTCTGAAATAAAGCAGCATCATCGGATAATGCTCTGTTCAAAAATCCACCCTAAGACTCAGGACGTTCTTGTCTTCTTTGACCTTGACCCGTTTTTTGACTTCGCTGGCAGCTCAGCCACGGTATCGAATTTCTAAAAGTTTCCAGAACATTTTCTTGCTCAAACGCTGTAAGCTCCTTCTTTCCTGAAGCTTTTGAAGGTTCACGCCTCATAGCCTTTGCAGGCAACTTTAACACCCTGAAGTCTACCCTTCTTTTTTCCTTTTTTTTTTAGGGAGGGAGGGGATTTGTCTCGCAAGATTTCCTGCCTTTGTTTACAGTTCTAAAACGGCTCAAGATTTCTCTTCTCAGAGTGCTCTCAAATCTCAAGATTTGAGAGCACTCTGCTCGAAGGATCACACCCTGTAAAGCATTTTTATTGTTCCTCATATAGTCCACATAGATAAAGTCTAACCCGTGGAAGATTACAAGTTTCATTTATGCAATATGTAAAGTTCATGGTGAATGTCACATTCATCAATTGTTCACATGTTGATATAAATATTGTTTGCGGAAAGAAAAACACTGCAATAAAACCACCATCTATTTTTTGTTTTGGAGAATGGTACCTTCAGCATGCACTGCAAGAATATTTAGGGTTATTATAAAGTAAGTATTCCTATTGAGCGGACTACAGCGCTCTGAATTGCGCTCATGTATTCCTTAGTATCTGAGGATTTATCCATATGAAAGAAGTGTCGCAAGATGAATGCACAGCAGGCTTGCCATCTGGCAGTTGTTAAATAAAAGCAAGGTTCCCGTGACTGAAGAGAGATGGCGCCTAAATCGCAGTGGTAGCTATTCGCTATTCGTCTGTGGTGGGTGCTTGTGAACCTCAGAGAAAAAATTAAGATCGGCTTATGGAAAGTAGAAAGAGTCCACTTCACAGTTGCGGTGTTTCCTGGATGACACTGAGTCTCATCAATGAATTTCATTGAATGGATGGATGGATTTTATTGAATGTAGGGACAAAATTTAGATCGTATAATTAATTATCTTTCTTGAGACTCTTGACCTCGTACACCGATTAGGTCGAATCCATTCAAGCTTTGAAATTCTACAAGTTGAGATGTACCTAATGTCACCGATGACCAGAGGACGCGTTAGGATTCGTCGTCACGAGGTTTTGGTCCAAACTCTCTGCAATGGCAAATGAGGAATAAATATCAAAAGAATGAAGTCATAGCTACTGTATGCAAAAAATTTTCAAATATTTTTGCGTACAGACCTTCTCTTACAGATTCTTTTGACCCATGAAGTACGGTACTTCGAAGTAGGGTAACGTTCCTAATTCAGTAGCGCTCTAGCAGATGGCTGAATAGTAAGCAGTGAAATTTTGTGCACGTATTCTTTTGTGGATAACCTCCAACATTATGGGGTTTTGCCTGCTTCCGGAATATTTCCTTCACCCATTATGATAAAATAAGCGTCTGTTGTACCGTTCTGTACCGTTTCGCGTAGTAAACTGTTTTTTTTTTGTGGAAACGAATATCGTATTATGGAATCGCAAGTTTTATAAACTAACTCTGATTTTTTACTTTATCAGGATTTGCATTTTGTAATCAGAATGACATGCCCATGGCAATTTGATAGTGTTCTCAAACACTAAATAAATTTTAATTTAATAAATATGTGTAATTATATATGATAGACAACCGCTTATCATATATGAATCAGGTCCTTACAGGTTTTTTAGTTATTACCTTAAAGTACCAAGTTTAAGGGGAAAATGTCATCTCTTAGGAATTGATTTAGGATTTTCCGCATTTATCATATAACGATAATGTATGCAATGTAACTTAATGTGTGTGTGTATTAGTATAATTCCGGTGGATAATTCGAAATTTACCATCTTTCACTCCGAATTGCCTGACTAACTACAATACTTTTCTTAGAAATATATCCAAATATTACCCAATATTGCCCGCCGCCCCCCCAAAAGAATATGTACGGGTAAGGAGGACTACTTTTTCCCTCCTGTGTCATAACTCTTGGAACAAAGTTTTTCAGAACTGTCATGTATTTGTATAGCAACTTCAGAATGTATTTATAGGGATTATTAGGTGATCCAAGTGATCCACGGTTCATCCACGTGTCATTCAGTTCCTAACAAAATTTTCAAAAAGGAACTTTTGAAGCCTGTTTTCATGTTTAATTTGCCAAAAATACATATTGAAAATTGATATTAAGGAAATATTCTGGGGGGAATATTACTGAGGAAAAAAAGCTTGACAATTGGATTGCCCGAAGTGATCCAAAGGTAACCCAGATACCTCCCAAACGATTAAGAGCCCAAGCAAGATTGTGATACATTGGCGAACTTGCCTCCTGTATCGCGCCTGTTGATACGCTTGAAACAGGTGAACTACCTCACCTGCTGTCGACGAGTTTCTCAATAAAACTGAACTTCTGGATATTTTATGAAAATGAATGCACTTTTCTCTCTTTTCCGTTAAAGTTACGATTGTAAAAAAAAAAATTTTTAAGAACCTACGTGGTGCTGTGGCTCAGTTACACTTTTTTTCTGGAGAAAAACGCGTCAACCTTTTAGATAATTTCTTGTGCTCTGTTATGATCTGGGGCACTTGGTAGAATGCTCTGGCACTCTACCAAGTGTACCTATGAAGTTCCAAGTGAGTCTGGCACATCTGTGGCGTGGTATATGTTGTTTGGCAAATATTTGGTACGTGTCTGACACATGTCTGGTACGTGTCTGGCACATGGTTGATTGATGTGTGCCACCTGCTGTTCATGAAGCTCATGCTGTTCCATTTATATATGATTAATATTCAAACATTTTGTGCTGTTCCATTAGAAATCATAGAAACGTGGAAACCTTGCCAACGCCAACGGCTTATGTAGCACATGTTATTCGAAATAAAAGTCCTTGGATAACAATAAATCTACGCAAGAGCTTGAATAATTGGGTTCATATGCACATGTGACAGGTAACCGAAGTGTGCCAAAGGGGTACTTACCTATTAAGTTTAAACCATTCATACCTCTCTTAAAATATGCGGCAGAACGGAATAATAATAAAAACTGCAGCAGGTTTAAAAGCAGGCTTTAGGAAAAAAAACTTGCCACCTGTAATTTGCTGAAATTCCGAGAATTTTTACAAAAAATTTCGAAAAAGCAAATTAAAATACTTATTTTTGAAAACATTGCTTCCTAGGGAAATAACTAAAAGATTTTGAAATAAAGAATTTGATAGATCTTGAAAGGAAACAAGATCGTTGAAAAAAGTGGCACCACATATTAATATTTATTTTGATATGGATGATATTTACCAAAACAACTTCGTCCTGTATACATTCTCCTAGTTGTGTCTACATGCTTAATTTCACTGCATTCTATATGATTTTCTCGATTTCCATCGAACCATGAAATCAAGAGGCAGAGTCAATACACCCACACCCAGACAAGACTGGAATATCAGTGACCTTAGCACTCTGAAAAGAAAGCTGACAACAAAAGAATAGTGGAGCATGGTGGCCATGGAACATTTAAGCGTCTGTCAAATAAAGGAGAGAGCTGTATTGTTTGGGGTTCTAGGGAGCAGTGGGGAGTAAAGAACCTTGATATGAGGATTGGAATCCATAGTGGGAGCGTTTACAGCTGCATCCTCGGCATCTCTAAGTGGCAATTCGATATCTGGTCCACAGATGCTAAAATTGCCAACCATATGGAACAGGCTGGACAACCAGGGTAAGCCCAGTTCCTCGGACTTTTCCATCAATTCATCCATGGCGATGGGGCATTGGTTTTTTTTTTTACCGGCTTTCTTTTTTGCAGGTGTGTCCACATCAGTAAAGCCACTCACAAGGCTTTAGGAAAGGACCATGGGTTCTACTTCGAAACAGGGAGAAAAGACAGTTACTTGGAGGAGAAGGGAGTCACGACGTTCTTTATTCCTCTGTCTCAGAACAAATTCATTCCAAGAGAAGAAAGAACTTCCATCCAAAGTGGAACGATGAACCGTCTGCTTTCCCTGCCGAACTCGTAAGCTTGGCGCTTCCTTTCTCCTCACCTGGAACAGCTGGACGGTTGGGAGAGATATTTGGATCTCTCTCAACCGCCTGATGCGGGACATTTTTAACAGGGAGGAAGCGGAGAAAATATTGCAAAGCAACCAAGAAAGATTGCATCGGGTAAACTCTCTCTCCCAGTGAGATTCTGATCCATAAGGTACTATCGTGTCGAAGATTTTTTGTTTCGATGTATCGTTCTGGTCAATGTTTGTTATAGCTACGGAGAGTGACAGTAGCAAATGGGGGATACCATCGGCGCGTGACAAACTTGGAGGATTTAGCAGGCGCCGTGACCAGGTTTAAAAAAGTAATGGAAAAAGCCCATAATAGAATGGAGGAGGACCTCGATGAAATGCCGCTCAGCAAATACGCGTAGGTTTCCCACCCTTTAAGCTTCTTCGCGACTCGTTCGTCATTTGTGGTCAAATCATGTTGAGAGTACGGTATCCATCCAGGCAGTGGCTGAAGCCGGAGGAGATTCAGCCTTTCTTCATAGCGTTCCGGGACCTGAAGCTGGAGTGCAATTTCATCAAACAGCCGGATATGCTCATCAAGTACCCCATCATGGCTGCCTCCATTCTCATCATCATTCTCGGCATTATCGAACTCCTCTCCGAAGCTGAGTCCGTGCTTTCACGCACTCGCCCCCTCTCTGTCATTCGTTCATTTGCTGTTGAAGAGGAATGATGTGCGAAATGCAGGATTGAAGACATCATAACATGGGTAGCGACCATCCTAGTCATGCTAACCATGACTTTCTGGGCTTGGATCGGCTCCATCCATGCAAAATGGTTGAAATGGAAGAAAGCCGAGGAACACGAAGAGTCACCGATGTGGAAGAAGATCAAGAAGGTACCCCAACGTCTCATCGTGTCTGCATGGATTAGAATCCTGCTGTTCGTCGTTTCTGCGTTGGGGGCCATATTAGCTGCCACCATCTCCATCATCGTTCGATGCGAAAGGACGAGTGTCGAGAAATGTTCTTCCCTAAGGGTTCGCAACCGATTTTGTCTCCATCCGTCCTTCCTTGTCAACATTCCATTCACGTTCCATTTCCGTTTCCAGTACCTAACTCAGGAGTTCGCGCTGGTGCTGAGCACGATCTTCGTCTTTTACCGCATTCATTTCCTATTGAAGCTGGGAGCCATGGTGGTAACATTGAGCGCTTACGGGATCCTAGTACAGAAATTTTTCTCCGAGGTTTCGCCTGGGTGGGACATGAATCCAGTTCCCCAGGGGAAATCACCTCTTTTTCCTCATATCCACTATCTTCTAGTCATCCTCCTTATCCTCCACGTCATTGACCGTCAAGTATGCAAATGTCCCCCTCCCCCCTCTCTTTCTCTCTCTCTCTCTCTCTCTCTCGTTACCTTTCTTCCCTTCTGTCGCTAACAATGGTTTATATTCCTACAGAGCGAATACCTATTCAAACTGGACTATAAATGGAAGAGGAGCCTTCAAGAGGAGCAAGAAGAAGCAAACTTGACTCGGAAAGTGAATCGATCCCTCATTTTCAACATCTTACCAGCTCATTTGGGTGATGAATCATGAGTGAATCAATCAGCCTTGTTTTTTTTTTTTAATACCATAATCGACCAGGCATTGCAGTATGAGTAACTGTTCTATTTTACTTGGCAGCGGATAGATACCTGAACCCGCGGTATGGGAACGAACTGTACCACGAGAGGTATCGGTCGGCTGCAGTCATGTTCGCCACGATCCTGGATTTCTCGTCGGAAGGAGACACGGACTTTCCGGCGAGACAAGGGGAACCGTGGGCTGAAGATGTGCCACAAGATGACGTGAAGAATGCACTCACTCTCCTCAACGACATCATCAGCGAGTTCGACCGGGTTCGTTCATCTGAAGAGCATTGAAATTCATGGGCGTAACCCAAAGCTCCGAAACGAGTTCTTCGTAAGCAAAGTCCAAGAGGGCACCGGACATGTTGACTCAAGCAAAGAGTTGTCTATACTTGTTCCTAAACGCACAACCATCTGTTGATCGAAATCTAAGATTGTGCTTTTTCCGATAATGCATGATTAAACGTTTTCCGAATGAAAATATAATCGTAATCGATATAGGTAGCGGTCGTGGCGATTGGTTTCTATCGATCTCACTTCCCGATTTTCCATTCCATGAGTGGGGGCTTGAGACTAAATAATAAAAAGCGAACGTCCAAATGCCTTACATTATGTACAGGGTGACACAAACATTGAAGCATTGTAAATGCTTTGTCATTTTTTACGTGTATGTTCCAAAAACAGTGTGGTTTTTCACAAGCTCCATTCATGGCCTTACAATTTAAATGCAGCATGTTACAACTTAGGTTTCGTTGATTACGTCCTTCAAATGGTTTTCCTGAGATGCAACACAAGAAAGTAAACGTTTTTCAAAGTTCAATGGTCACATCATCTCTCGTTTGATGGCATTTCATGGCCTGCACGATCTTCAGATTACTACACCGATTACTTTCTATGGGGATATTTGAAAGCGAAGGTGTACCAAAATAGGCTTCATGGAACTTTATTGGAACTTGAGGAAAACATTAGTGTGGAATTAGCCAGAATAACCCGAACATTGTGCGAAGCGACGGTCAAGAACCTTGAAAAACGTTAACTTTCCTGTGTTGCATCTCACGGAAGCTGTAACATGTTGCATCTGAATTGCAAGACCTTGAATAGTATTTGTGCAAAACCACACTGTTTTGGAACATACATTTTAAAATAATGGCAAAGCATTTATATTGCTTCTGTTCCTATGTCATCCTCCACCTCATGATAGAAGCCTCCCCGGGTAATCTTCCTCAGGAATGCGAGACTAGATACGCAATTTTACCCTTTGACAGGAGCGTTTCTTAACAATAGCGTGCGATGTGGAGTGCATGGATGTCATGTAACTGTCTGGCAAATTTACAATTGACGTATATACACGTCAGTATTTGTTTAAGGGTTTATATCGCAATACTTGGACCGTTGAAGGGTGCGTTCAGCGATTGAGCTATGATGGTAGCGGTGGAGCACTTCGCTCACATAGCAGCTGCTGCTCTTGGGGTCTGCTCAGCGGCTTCAAATATTTATCGGGAAAGCCATTTTCCCTTCATATCACCTGAGGATAAGAAAACAAAAGTTCTTGAACATCCTGTTGACTTGGCATCGTTGATTTGCAAAACAGCTGCTCTTGTGAATTTTGTCATGAAGAAGCTGAAAAGAATATTAATGTTCTGTTCTGCTCCAGTAGCGCTAAGTTCTGACGTAGCCCAGGGAGCGGTAGCTGACCATGAAATTCGATTGCTCAGGTAGCACAGCAGGAGTGCTCAATAACTCAATAAATCCAGTAACTTTTTTTAAGCCGTCAAAACAGTTTAACCAAAACTTGGAGGGCATTAAAGATTCTTCACATCGCAATCACACCTTACAATTGATGCTTTCTGCATTTAAGTTTTTGGAGGTCGTGAGGAATCCAGGATGAAGAGCAGGAAATCTTCCAGCCTTTCGAATATGTGAATACAATGGACAGATTCGGATCCTGCTGTTGCGTTCCCCTAGGAAATGGCTAAAAGTTACACCAATGCTATGAGGCCTGAGAGCAGGGAGACTTCTTGGAACGTGCCTTCATCCTTTCTTCCCCGTGAATCTTTGTACAGCTCCTGTTTTCTTACAAGAGGGTGCAGAAGATCAAGTTGATTGGGACGACTTACATGGCTGCCGTGGGCTTGGAACCTGGGGAAAACGGATCATGGGATGATGACGACGATGTCACGGATCTCGCGGCAGCTCATAATAGCTCCACCATGGTTGCCTTCGCCATCGGCCTCATCGACCTCCTCACGAAATGCAATCGAGGCAGCAACCAAGAATTCAGCCTCAGAATAGGTAACCGAGAGTGATCATCGGTGAGTGCGAGATATGACGATTGATTGATCGATCGGATGCTGGGATGTGTGCAGGGATCGCGTGTGGTCCTCTGATAGCGGGTGTGGTGGGTGCGGAGAAGCCCCTGTATGACATCTGGGGGGATACAGTAAACATGGCTTCCAGACTGGAATCTACTGGAAAACGATGGGAGGTCCACATCTCGGAAGAAGTGAACAGTTTCCTTCGGCGCTTAAACGTCCACTCCCTCTACCGGGGTTTGACCGAGATCAAGGGGAAGACCCAGCTCATCCCCACGTATTTCGTGGACATTAAGAGGTTCAGAAATAAGGGACAGCACGTGATCGGTCTCACCAATCCAGATGTTCCAGATTCATTCCACCATCAAGGCCCGAAGCGTAACTCGGAATCGAGAACGAGCGATTGGGGAACGATTTACAAGAAAAGCTTGGATTCGAGAAACCTCTGCCTGCGTGGTTCGCGTGCCAGCATGGGAGAGCATCTTCAGTGGAGGATAGATTCGCCGCTGGAGGACCTTTACGAGACCCTCGTTCTAGATTACGATATCTTGCCACACGAACCCCCTTCGAACTCGGAATGAATTAATAAATTTATATTATTCTGGCTTTGCTGCTATGAGTCTGAGAAAGATAAAACCCATTTATTCATAAAAATCCAGGAATAGATGAAACCAATGTGAGAACGCTTTGAAACCCGACACCTCAAATCACTCAAAAACAATAATACGAGGACTGACGACAATAAAATCCAATACTTCAGAAACACACTTCAATGAGGAATGGGACTTGGAGGGAAGGAGATAAAATAAAATTGTTCAGTAGAGGGACCGACCGGTAAGGTAAGATAGCTCACAAGACGACGTGGGGAGACTCGGACACGATAGTGAGCAGCGGGAAATGAGAATGATCTACAATGGAGTGATCTTTTGAATGAGGGAGATGGGAGCTCGACAGAAGGGGCATAATCCTTGTCCAGGACCGACCCACTGCTCCAAAGCACATGCATAACAAAGTCCCAAATGGCCACAACGAATCAACACTGTGTTCACGAGATTGTGAAGGCAGATGTTGCAGGTGACTCCTATCCCTCCGTTCTCTCCTCCTCCTCCCTCCGCAATTCCACCGCCTTCGTCATCCTACGTAAAAACCAGTACAATAACAGTGAAATGAGGGATTCTCAGAGTCCTTTTCTGTGAAGAGAAAAAGAGAGACTCACGGAAGAACCTCGGCGGCTAGGCAGGGATTTGATAGCCATTTCTAGATTCTTCTCTGCATCCTTGTAGCTGTGGAATTCCCCATATTCACGCTTCTGGATCAACGAGGCCACATCTCGTGGGGTTTTGTCGTATAGTGGATACGGGGGTGGGAATTTGGGGAAGAATTTCGGGGATCCCTCAAACGTCAATGGAGAGATGAGCTTAGTATAATCCAAGAATATGCAGTTGTTCACATCCTATAGGAATGTATGTAGAATTCGAGGCGTACACGTATATTGGATTTATACTCCGAAAATCGAATTCGTACCTGAAGGCCTAATTGGGGTTTTTCATCTGGATCCTGATTGAGCGTGGATGTGAGAGATGTGATGGAATTCAACAGCTGGGGCCCGAAGAAACTCGGGAGAGTATCTTCGATATTCAAAGAATTGAAGTAGAGAGACGGAGAGAGTGGAGCTTCCATAGTCCTGAGAATGAAACCCTGACACGACTGACACCGGGTGAGAAAACGAACTGAGGTCGAAGCCAAGGACGAGGACGAGGGTGGAAAGCCCCGCGGCGTTTCTCTCGTCACTAGGGCGCCCTCGGGAGAATCCGCACAGGCATCGATGCCGGCGCATTAGTTCGTCTGTCTCCTCGGATCGACGATTAGAACGTACCAACGACAAGAATGACGCCTAGCGGAGGAAGTCTCACGGTTGGTGGAGGTTCACTTGGAAAATTTACAAATATCCGTAATTTCCCACACGATGGAATGTCTCACGCTCACAGCAATGACGTTAGGCAGGTCTCCGTGTGGAAATTAAATCCTCACTGGAGGCCAACGGAGTTATTGTAATGTCGATCGAAGATATTGGTGTCCTTTGTCGAAATTCGTGATTTTTAAATGATTCCTCGACTTGATATATTATTCTGCGAACGATCCGACCCCCAAGCTCTTGTTATTTCCCCGCGCGGCGAACAACACACCTGGAATGGTGGGAGCGCGTGATTAAAAGGAGACCGCGGAGTCGGAAGAGAGCGATAGAACGAGAAAAACGGAGGGAAGAAGAGGTTGGCTGGTCTCATGTAATTTTCATCGGGGTCTCTCTCTCTCATCATTACTCCCTGGATTCATTAAGACAATCATTGCGGGGCCGAGGAGCTGAGTCTCTGCTTCTGCTTCTCCCGAGAATAATACTCTGTGATGAAACTGGTCTGTCTATGTGTCTGTCTGTCTGTCTGTCTCTCTGCAGTGAGGAGATATAGAAGGGGAGAAAGAGGGGGAAAAAAAGAAAGAATGGATGAAAAGGAGGGAGAGCTACGTCTCATCTCCCTCTTTTCTGGCGGGGTGATATTCAGCTGAGACGAAATGAACCTCTCTTTCGTCCGAGATTTTATTGCTCCCCCCGACTCTCTGGGAAACGTCACTCTGACTAAGTTATATTTCCCCCCCTTTAGGAAATGGGTGCAATATTCTCCAATTAATTCTCCGAGACCCAATCACTATTTTCATCTGCCCTGACTTCCCCCTATGACGGGATCTCCGGGTGAATTTGGCGACCTCTCCTGGTGCCTTCGGCGACCTCATTCCCAAACCAAGGCCTTATTCTACTTGATTATTCTTCCGAATTTCTGTCTCACCTAATCCACTCCTTTCTCTTCTCTCCCTCTCTTCTCTCTCTCTCTCTCATCTAATTCATCCATTGTGCAAGACACCATGAGTTTCTGTTCAATCGATGGCCGCGATCCTTCGACACTGGTTATAGCATTTGTCATTCATTCAGCTGTGGCCTGTCACTCGTTCCCGATCGAGGAAAGATTTCGTGGATCCACATCAGGACCGATATTGTGGTGAAATCGGGAACGATTTTGCTTATGATGGCTTTTATAGACGCGGAGGACTCGACTCGATCTTGGATTCGCAATGAACCTCATTGCTGAGATTCCTTAACTAATTGTAGATGGACTTCAAAGATCTCGACCAGATCTTGGAAGCCAACTTGATCTTGGACTTTTCCCGATCGACTCCGTTCAAGCACACTCTTTAACTAACCGGATTTAAGATGGGAATTGGCATATTTACATGGTCGTGGAACTCGTAATTCCGCGAGGCAGCTGCGATGTCAGAGGTCTCCAAGCACGGTTAATTTACACCAAGTATCAAATTTCAGCTGAAGTTCCGTGTTCTTGTCGAAAATATTAAACCTGATCTCACTCCAAATACGCAGTTCTTTGAAGCTTTTGCATGCAATGTCATATTGCAAAAAGAGAATGCGAGATGTTAGCACGGATTCAGACAGACAAACCCATGTGGAGGAGTTCGTTTAGCGGCGTCCAAAAAACCTGAAGCTTCACCTGATTTGAATCAGAACAGTTTTTATGGAGCCAAACAATTATTGACTCAACCTTTACGTTTCTATAGACTTGAACTAGTACTTGAGATCTAGACTGGACTAACGCATTAGCCCACAACTACGTGGACGGTTGCGATGGTTCCACAAAGAGCCCAGGGAGGGACAGAGTGGATGCGCAATTCTGACTTCCCCTTTTCCTTCTCTTCCTTGTGCATGTCTTTGCTATTGATCGGGTCTGGAGCCGAAATCTCGCTCTTCTAAACTCCCCCCCACTGAATCTGTGCATGTTAATGGGCCCGAGAGACTGGAGAGAGAATAGAGACCACACTCCCCCTCTCCATGCGCTTGGCCGTTCGCATCGGTGGTGCTCACTTCCACGAACCCATCTGCCCTCCTCACGTTCAGGTGAGTTTCAATTTCGGGACCGTACAGCTTCATTACGATGGGAAAGGGGATGGTCAAAAGGAGCAGAGCTAAAAGTGAGCTGGGCCGTGGATGGTTATGAGGAGAAGGAGGCATTGGCTCATCCCAGGCGCATGTCCTCGCCAACTCTCCTCTCTCACTCCAGAGTCGAGACTTCCATCCACCCAGCTACACTTATATTCTCCCCCAAAAATAATTCATATGGATGAGTCCACTTTCCATCCCTTCCCTCTCGCCTTCCTTCCTTCTCCTAGCGCGCTGCACGCAGTAACTTCCCATTCCCTCTCTGTCCGTCATTCTCATTCCGCAATATATTACGTTCAGGGAGAGTGATGCGGTCCACTTCGTCTGTAGCGATACAATCTTTAGCACAATGGGGCGATCAGAACTTCGCTGGGCTCTTTGGTCAATCCAATGGCATGGGAAACCATCGTCCAGTGACTAAATCCAAGTATTCAACCAATTCGTATCAGTTTGACATATGAGTGATATCCAATCCATAGCTGTGTTTTGTTCGCATGGTATTAAGTGTGCATTTCGTTGACGATCCTGAAAAGTACATTGAGGAAAGCATTGAATGAATCAGAAGATGCGAGACACATCTTGACTCGTTGCATCGCGGCCTTCGGGTGGATCTTCGACTCAACAAGTTCTCGACGGATTAAAAATACCAAAAGAGTTTGAGTCTGAGCTTACTTACCCGGATATAGACTTACGCCTTCTTACTATACCAGTTTTTTTTTTTTTTTAATTCAAGATAGCCTCTATCGACTATGCAATCGGCTATGCACGCTACAGGCCAGACGTACACCAGCAAAACAATCTCGTGAAGAGTCCTACCTATTCTACCCTATGAAACATGTATCATACATCATGCATGTATGATACATGTTTCATAGGGTAGAATGCATAGAAAATAAATGGAACCCGCCCACTGGTGAAGCATGCTTCAACTCCTTCAAATATTGCATTTTATTTGCTAAATTCCTGGTTTTCCATGCAACGAAGCGCGTATGATACACGCTTCGCGAAAATGTTTCACCTGTGTGCGGCCTGGCTAATGCTCGCAGGCAAGAAACAGAAGCATTTTCATGCTTTCCATTATGACTTTCCGTTATGTAATTCTTAGTAGTCTATTTTCATGTTTTATTTCATGAAATGATGGGTTAAGCACGCAAACCTAGAGCAAAAATACTGAATCGATTTCGACGATGACGTAACGTTGAACTCTTCCTGCTCTGGACATAAATTTTTGATGATCACAAGTACTGGCAGTACTGAAAGTAACGAACAGTACTTAATAAGCCTAGTTCTTAATAAAGCACACAGACGAAGAGCGAAAAACTATCGAGTCTACTTGAACACAAGCAGTTCCGTTGAACTTGTTGGCTGTCTGATTTTTTAGGCGATCTCGTGTTCAGATTTCCTGCAGATGGTATTATTAAACATATCAAATTTCACGTTAAGCATATCGACAACCTTTACGGTGTGAGGTCTCACATATTCAGTTCCTTCATTGCCAGTCTATATTTTCCAATGGACTGCCGAGCGAATTCGAAGAAGCGAAACCAGGCACGAACTCGTCGGCGACACGGGAGCCGCAAGCGATGCCGCCGTCGCTTTGGGTATCGCTGGTTGGCATCGTTTTCTACTTGAGGAAAAAAAAAAAATTTGACAAATCCCTTGGTACGAAACAGAGCAAGGATTGTGTAGTGTATCACACTGTAAAACCAAACAAACAAGACTTTCGGTGGAGAAGAATCGTCTGTTAAGACGTAAACCATCTGCGTCACGGCATATTCCTTCGGGATTTAAAAAAAAAAAAACGGAAAAAAAACTGGGAGATTCTGTGACCTGCTTCAGCTGACTCATCTCCTTCCTTTTACTTCTGTTTATTTTCCACCATATTTCATGATGACGCGAAATTTCGGAGTTCTTGGAAGCTTCACGGCGTCTCAAATGAAAATATAATATATATTTTTATATCCATCCGGTCTCAGGCGAGCTTCGAGTCTTTCTGAATATCAAATCTCGGATGAATGAGAAAGGTTCCTCCCATCTTAAAATAATTTTATGAATAGCTTGAAATCAGAATTTCAGAGTTGAAGTATGGAAAATGGAGAAAGGTTGACGCATAGAGCGAAGATGAAGAAATCTCCTCGCCGGGAGGAGCAGTCGAGGAGCTGTCGGTGTTCAACTCCAACTTGCCTCAGCGCAGACGGTAGGTTGTCTCACGAGGGGGAGGGGGGGAAGGGGGGAAAGGGGGGAAAGGGGGGAAAGGGGGAAAGGGGGGAAGGGGAGGGGGGCAGGGAGCCTGAGCGCTCCCCATGGCCTTGAATAATCCCCCCTCTTATCTAATCTACACTTATCGAAAACTGAATTTTCTGCTTCAATGCATCCGCATCACATAATAAATAAATTTCCAAGTGTCCTGAACTCCGGACACAAGGATTACAGGAGTTAAGGCAGGAAACGCCGAAAATATTGTGGAACCCCCCCCCTTTCTCTCCTTCCCCCCCTTCCCCCCCTTCCCCCCCTTCCCCCCTACCCTCCTATGCCACCGTCGACAGCCAAAAATTTCCCAACTCATCTGAAAGATGGTGTCGAAATGTGAATCTCTGTAAGATTGCACTCGATGGCATGGGACTCATCCGAGGAAGATCCTTGCGGCCACGAGACCGTCGAATTCGCACTTCCCCACAATTTCAACGCACGATCACGTTCTGGAGACGATTCCTTCGAATGCCCCCCCCCAAAATTATACATTTTTCCCAACCATTCTAGCAGTGAACGACTCTGCCTTCGCGTTTCCCAGCGCCGGTCACCGATTCCTGAATT